TAAAAACCACAAGAGCAAGAAAGATGTTGTAAATACCTTAGTCACTTAATTAGCTGAGAAGACTCCCTGGTGTGATTTAAAGGTGTTGTGAATGCCTTACAGCTTGATGTGATTTAGGGCGTAGCTAGAAGAACAGTTATAAGATAAGGGGGGCTCCGGGATAATCTCGTTACAGACAACTCGGCCTTGGGAGAACGGATGCACGGAACCATGAAGACTGGAAGAAACAGAAGAATGGCACCGATAGCCTTGAAGGACAACGTCTACGTGATCCTAGGACTGAGTTTGCGCAGAAGCAAGGGTCAATCAGCGAGCACAGTGAAGAAGACTACGAGCCTTCATCGGAAGACCCCCAAAGACCACTTGAAGACCGAGAGGAGAGATGACTGTGCATGCGAATTGGATCTTTACATATGCTAATAAGTTCATGGAAATCTCATGTTTATGTAAACGAATTAAATCCTATGGACCACCACGAGAGATGACTGTGCATGCGAATTGGATCTTTACATATGCTAATAAGTTCATGGAAATCTCATGTTTATGTAAACGAATTCCCGGAAATCCTATGAATATGTATGATTGCATAGTATATATCTTCTAAAAATTCATCAACTTGTTGGGGCGCTTATGGTGGAGAATCCCCAGTGCTGCCCAGCGCTGCAATAAAGGACACCTCCTTAATAGTGACTTTGTTGCTCTTGAGTTTCATTTCAGGGACTCTCTGAATGCTCCGTTTCTCCCTTGCGGAGATTCGGACTGTGAGGGGAAGCATCCCTGAATTTTTGTATCAGGTTAACGGTTGGACTTGACGATCTTAAAGGTCTTTTCCAACCTAAACGATTCGATGACTCTATGATTAACCCTGGGCCCACGAGACCTGTGGTGGTTTACCCTTCGGGCCCACCACCCTTGGGCTTGTTAACCCTGGGGACCCATCACCCTGGGTGCCCGTCACTTTTTGCTTCGAAGGACCTCGGGGCTGCAGTGCCCACTCAGGTCACCATAAGTACCAATATGTGAAGAAGGCTGTCACCATCCTGGGTGGCACTCGGAGGACTGTGGCAGTGGGGTCCTGTGCTCCTGCTGCTCCCCGCAGCCCTAATGAGCCCACCCTTTGAACGCTGGGTCCAAGTCCTGGGCAACCAGTATAAGAGTGATGAAGTGACTGTGAGAGGGCCCCGTCTGAGGTGCTCCATGGCTGGGAGCCTCTTGGAGAGGCCGTGGGAGCCAGAACTCTTCAGCCTGGAGAAGATTTGGCTGTCGGGGGTCCCGCCCAGGTGGGATCTCATCAGTGGCAGTGACAGGACAAGAGGCACAGGGCACAAATGTAGACACAGAATGGCTTGGGAGGACACTTTTTTACTGTGGGGGTGACTGAGGCTCCTCGGGGAGGTTCTGGGGTCTCCAACTGTGGAGGGATAAAAGGCCACCAGGATGTGGCTATGGTGGTCTCCCTGGGCTGAGCCCCCCAGCACCCCTTGAAGGGCCCTGTTCCCCCCGCCAGGGTCTCCCAGGGGCCCTCCCCAGCACCCCAGCACCCCGTGAAGGTCCCAGCTGACCCCCAGGGACCCTCCTGAGCCCCCCAGCACCCCGTGAAGGTCCCAGCTGACCCCCAGGGACCCTCCTGAGCCCCCCAGCACCCCGTGAAGGTCCCAGCTGACCCCCAGGGACCCTCCTGAGCCCCCCAGCACCCCGTGAAGGTCCCAGCTGACCCCCAGGGACCCTCCTGAGCCCCCCAGCACCCCGTGAAGGTCCCAGCTGACCCCCAGGGACCCTCCTGAGCCCCCCAGCACCCCGTGAAGGTCCCAGCTGACCCCCAGGGACCCTCCTGAGCCCCCCAGCACCCCGTGAAGGTCCCAGCTGACCCCCAGGGACCCTCCTGAGCCCCCCAGCACCCCGTGAAGGTCCCAGCTGACCCCCAGGGACCCTCCTGAGCCCCCCAGCACCCCGTGAAGGTCCCAGCTGACCCCCAGGGACCCTCCTGAGCCCCCCAGCACCCCGTGAAGGTCCCAGCTGACCCCCAGGGACCCTCCTGAGCGAGCCCCCCAGGACCCCGTGAACGTCCCAGCTGTCCCCCAGGGACCCTCCTGAGGCCCCCAGCACCCCGTGAAGGTCCCAGCTGACCCCCAGGGACCCTCCTGAGGCCCCCAGCACCCCGTGAAGGTCCCAGCTGACCCCCAGGGATCCTCCTGAGGCCCCCAGCACCCCATGAAGGTCCCAGCTGAACCCCAAGGACCCTCCCGAGCCCCTCCAGGATGCCACGAAGGTCTCTGCTGCACCCTGGGGACCCACAGGGCTTTCCCGAGAGGGGAACAGCAGGTGACACCCGGGACACAGGCGGGGCTCAGCGTCCCCCCCAGGCCAGCGCGTGGAGGCGGTGGGCAGCATCTCGCAGTCGCCCACGGTACTCAAGGCAGCAGTGCAGCCCAGGCGGGATGGACTCCAACCCCCCCCGCAGCCCCCAGCACCCAGCGGCGATGGTCCCCGTCGAATCGTTGTCCCCGCCGTGCAGCACCCCCCTGGCACACAGGTCCCCCCAGCTTCCGCCGGCTGCCAGCAGGGCTTCCAGGGCCACCATGGGCGCGTCATGGCCACTGCGCCCTGGCCACCCCTCCAGTGCCCAGCCCATGTACGCCGCATCCCGCTCGGCTGGTGACGGAAGGGATGGCACCTGCGGTGGGCCACGACCCTCCAGAAGCCCCCGGGATTCCAGGTACCTGCAGGAACGTGGGGACGTTGAGGTCACTGGGAACACTGGGGACATTAAGGTCACTGGGAACACTGGAGTCATGGAGGACGTGGGGATATTGGGGTCAGCAGGGACACTGGAGACGTGGTGACACTGGGCTCACCAGGGTCATTGCTGCCACTGGGGACACTGGGATCATTGGTGTCACCAGTGATAAAGGGGTAAGCAGTGGCACTGGGGGTCAGCGGGCTGTGGCTCTGCAGCAGCCCCTGTGACACCAGGTACCTGTGGGGACATCGGGGACAACTGGGACACCTGGGGGCACCACGGCAGTGGAGGCAGTGGGGACACCAGTGACACCCAGGAAACAAAGAGCACCAGGGACACCAGGGACACTGAGGTCAGTGGGGGTGTGGGGTGGCTCTGGGCCACATTCCCCCAGCTGAGGGTGGCAGCACTGGTGGGGACACTGGGGACACTGGGACACTGGGGGCAGCAGGGACAGGATGGGCACTGGTGACTCTGCAGACAGACCAGGCACCAGGGTCAGCAGTGACACCAGTGACAGTGGGGCAGGGGACACATCCAGCCATGGGGGCAGAGCAGTGTCACCAGTGCCACCAGTGCGGTGGCCGCAAGGACTGGGAGAGAGCATTGTGGGCACCAGTGACCCCATGAACCCCTCCCAGTATCCTCACCAACCCCTCCCAGTGCTCCCAGCGACCCCACAGAACCCTCCCAGTACCCCCTCACCGGTGCCAGGCATCCCCGAAGAAGGGCCAGGCGGCGGCGTTGTCCCCCACGGCCACCCCGGCACCCTCCACGTAGTCCCATGCGAGGGGCAGGACCCGCAGCAACTCGGCCCCCCAGCGCTCCGGGGGCTCCCCCCGAGCCCCCAGCGCCCCAAAGAGGGCCACCGCCAGCGCCCCGAGGTACCCTGTGGGGACAGCGGTTTCAGGGGGGCTCCAGTGTCCCCTCCTCCGCTGCCGCCCCCCCCCCCCCGCCTGGCACCCACCGGTCGGGTGGTGGTGGGTCATGCGTCCGCTCTCGATGCTCACCCGGATCAGCGTTGGCAGCTCCCAGGCGTGCGGGTACCTGCATTGGCATCAGCCCTGTCCCCGTCCTCCCCTGTCCCCTCCCTGTCCCTGTAGCCCCAGCCTTGGCCCTATCCCCATCCCGCCACCACTGTCCTTGTCCCCCTCTGTCCTTGTCCCTGCTGTCCCCATCCCCCCTGGCCCCGCCACCTCCCTGTCCCTCTCTCATCTGCTCTGTGACCCCGTGTTCCCTCCTCCCTATCATTGTCCTCATCTTCTCTTGTCCCCTAGGGCTCCCTGTTCCCTCTCCCCCAGCTCAGACATCCCAGCCCCCCCAGCCCCACTGTCCCCCGCCTCCCAGCTCCAGCACCACCATGTCCCTAAGCCCCGGTCCTTGTCCTCTCCAGCTCCAACACCCCCATGTCCCCATGCCCCTCTGTGTCCCCATTCCCCCATCTCTTACACCCCCATGTCCCTGTCACCCCATCCCCATTGCCTCATGTCCCCTTCCCTCCAGCTCTGAGACCCCCGTGTCCCCATCCCCGAGCTCTGACACTCCCGTGTCCCCATTCCCATGTCCCCCCATCCTCCCTTGTCCCTGTCTCTGCATATCTGCCCCCCCACCCCGAGGTCTGACAGCCTTGTGTCCCCATCCCTGTCCCGTCCTTGTCCCTGTCCCTTCCAGCTCTGACACCCCCGTGTCCCCAGCCCCGACACCCTTGTGTCCCCATTCCCCCAGCAGTGACACCCCCTTGTCCCTGTCCCCATCCCCTGTGTCCCCATCCCTCCATGTCCCCGTCCCTGACTCCCCTATGGCCCTGACACCCCATTACCCGACAGCCCCATGTCCCCATCCCCTCTATGTCCCCATCCCTGCAGCTCTGACCACTCCAGTGTCCCTGTCCCCCTGTGTCCCTCTCCCCTCCAGCTCTGACACCCCCATGTCCCCATCCCTGACACCCTCGTGTCCCCATCCCTCCAGCTCCAACACCCTCGTGTCCCCATCCCTCCCATCCCCACGTGTCCGCACGTGTCCCCCCATGTCCCTACCCCCCCTCCGCTGTCCTTTCCCGTGTCCCTGTCCCCACCTGAGGCCGATGGCCAGGCTACGCATGGCGGCCCCGCAGCCAGTGCCGGTGGGGTTGAAGGGGATGCGATAGCCCTCGGGCTCCCCAGGCCGCAGCTGCGAGGTGCCTGGGGGGGGGGGATGTCGGGGGCATGAGACCTCCCCCCCCACGACACCCCCCGACTCCCCGCAGACCCTCGGACGCCACTCACCCAGGATGCTGGCCCCCGGGCCACCCAACTGGAGGGGAGGGAGAGGCCCCATGCACCCCCCAAAACTGAAGGGGAAGAGGAAGACCCCCTCCATTGCACCACCCCCAAACGGTGGGGAAAGGGAACACCGCCCCATAGACAACTCAATGACCTGCAGGGATTTCATGCTGCCTTGTCCCTGCCATGGCCCTGACCTGCGAGGTTTGGGGTTCTCTACCCCTGTCTTGGCCTCTACAAGTGCGGTTTGGGGGTACCCTGCCCCTGGCCTGGCCCTGATCTGAGGGATTTGGGGGATCCCTGCCCCTGGCCTGGCCCTGAACCTTGAGGTTTGACGTTTCCTGGTCTCCTCTCTTTCCATGACCGACTTGTCTTGGGGGTGCCCTGCTCCTCTTCTGGACCTGATCCACTGGGCTTGGGGTGCCCTGCACCCAGCTGGACGATTACCCATGGGGCTTTTGGGGTTCTTGGTCCTTGTTCTGACTCTCTCCATCGGGGTTCGTTATTGCTTTGCCCTATCGTGGCCATCACCCGGAGGTTCCTGGTGCCCTGCCTCTGTTGTAGCCAAGACCCACAGGGTTTGGGGTGCCTTGCCCCTGGCTTGGCCATGACCGTTGCGGTTTGGGGCTGTCCTGCCCCAGTCCTGGCCCTTAACTGCAGAGTTTGGATGGGTTTTGCCCCTGTCCTGGCCCTGCCTCACGGGGTTTCGGCTTCTCTACCCGTCTCGTGGCTGTGACCCACAGGGTTTTGAGCTTTCCCTGCACCAGTCCCGGCGCTGACCCACGGGGTTTGGGGTGCCCTGTCCGTGTCTGGTCCGTGACCTTTGGGCTTTCGGGGTGTCCTGAAACCCTCCTGACTCCCAACCATGGGATTTGGGGTGCCCTGGCCCTGTCTGGTCCATGAGCCGTGGGTTTGTGGTGTCCTGCCCCGATTCTGGTTCCCACCCACAGGGTTTGGGGTGCCCAGATTCTGTCCTGCTACTGACCCACGGGGTTTTGCGGTGCCCAGAGTCTGTCCTGCTCCTGACCCATGGGGTTTGGGGTGCCCTGGCCCCATCTGGTCTGTGACCTGTGGCGTTTGGGGGTGTCCTGCCCCCATCCTGAACGTGTTCTGCAGGACTTAGGGTGCCCTGGCCCTGTCCTGGACCTGACCCATGGGGTTTGGGGGTACCCTGCTCCTCTTCTAGACCTGACCCACAGGGTTTGGGGTGCCCTGTTCCACTCAGGTCCACAGCTCATGGGGTTTTGGGGTGCCCAGACTCTGTCGTGATCCTGACGCATGGGGTTTGGGGTGCCCTGGCTCTGTCTGGTCCATGACCTGTGGGGTTTGGGGGTGTCCTGCCCCCATCCTGGTGCCCACCTATGGGGTTTGGGGGGCCCTGGCCCTGTCTGGTCCATGAGCTGTGGGGTTTGTGGTGTCCTGCCCCCATCCTGGCTCCCACCCACAGGATCTGGGGTGCCCTGTCCCTGTCCTGGACCTGACCCACGGGGTTCTGAGGTGCCCTGTTCCAGTCTGGTGCACGACTCATGGGGTTTTGGGGTGCCCAGAGTCTGTCCTGCTCCTGACCCATGGGGTTTGGGGTGCCCTGGCCCTGTCTGGTCCATGGGCTGTGGGTTTTGGGGGTGTCCTGCCCCCATGCTGGCTCCCACCCATGGGGTTTGGGGTGCCCTGTCTCTGTCTGGTCCATGACCTGTGGGGTTTGGGGGTGTCCTGCCCCCATCCTGAACGTGTTCTGCAGGACTTAGGGTACCCTGGCCCTGTCCTGGACCCGACCCATGGGGTTTGGGGGTGCCTTGTCCTTGTCCTGGACCTGAGCCACAGTGTTTTGGGGTGCCCTGTTTGACTGTGGTCCATGACCTGTGGGGTTTTGGGGTGCCCAGACTCTGTCCTGCTCCTGACCCATGGGGTTTGGGGTGCCCTGGCCCTGTCTTCTCCATGAGCTGTGAAGTTTTGGGGTGTCCTGCCCCTGCCCTGGACCCAACCCGCAGGCTCCTGGGCTGCCCGACCCCTTTCCTGACCCTGAACCCCACTATCTGAGGCCTGAGCACACTTTGCGGAGCATGGCAGGATGAGACCTCCATTTCTTTATGTCCGAACAAAAATATGTCCAAAAAACTGTTATTTTTGGCACACCGATGGTTTTTGTTTTTAATTTTCCTAATTGCCAATGGATTTTAAACCTCGTTATTCACCCGGTTTACGACCAAGCACCCGTTGCCGCCCCCCCTCCCCCCCAGCAGAATTTTCCCCAACAGATCAAAGATTTGGGTCACGTTTGGCATCATTTGGGCCAAAAAAAACGGACGAAAACGTGGTGCTGGGTGCCAGGAGTTGCACTTTTCTAGGACTGGCCCGGGGCCCGGGCCGAGGTTTTGCTGCTTGACTCCGTAATTAAGGCTCTGCAATTTAAGGACGATCTTTTAACCACTCGCTGCCCACCACCAGACATTAATTTTACTTTTTTTGGATAGCAAAAACCAACGGGTTTGGGTCGGAGCCGACCCCGGTTGTCAGAGCAGAGCTGCCCCATCCTGACAGGAGCCAGGTGACTTCAGTTTTGTTTTTTTTTTGACCTGTGGGGGCTGGGGGTGTCCTGCCCCCATCCTGAACGTGTTCTGCAGGACTTGGAGTGCCTTGTCCCTATCCTGGACCTGAGCCACGGAGTTCTGAGGTGCCCTGTTCCTCTCTGGTCAATGACTCATGGGGTTTTGGGGTGCCCAGATTCTGTCCTGCTACTGACCCACGGGGTTTGGGGTGCCCTGGCCCTGTCTGATCTGTGACCTGTGGGTTTTGGGGGTATCCTGCACCCATCCTGGCTCCCACCCATGGGGTTTGGGGTGCCCTGTCTCTGTCTGGTCCATGACCTGTGGGGTTTGGGGGTGTCCTGCTCCCATCCTGAACGTGTTCTGGAGGACTTACGGTGCCCTGGCCCTGTCCTGGTGTCGTGGCCTGGGGTTTTGGGGTTTGTTGTCCTTGTCCTGGACCTGAGCCCCAGAGTTTTTGGGTGCCCTGTTTGACTGTGGTCCATGACCTGTGGGGTTTTGGGGTGCCCAGACTCTGTCCTGCTCCTGACCCATGGGGTTTGGGGTGCCCTGGCCCTGTCTTCTCCATGAGCTGTGAAGTTTTGGGGTGTCCTGCCCCTGCCCTGGACCCAACCCGCAGGCTCCTGGGCTGCCCGACCCCTTTCCTGACCCTGAACCCCACTATCTGAGGCCTGAGCACACTTTGCGGAGCATGGCAGGATGAGACCTCCATTTCTTTATGTCCGAACAAAAATATGTCCAAAAAACTGTTATTTTTGGCACACCGATGGTTTTTGTTTTTAATTTTCCTAATTGCCAATGGATTTTAAACCTCGTTATTCACCCGGTTTACGACCAAGCACCCGTTGCCGCCCCCCCTCCCCCCCAGCAGAATTTTCCCCAACAGATCAAAGATTTGGGTCACGTTTGGCATCATTTGGGCCAAAAAAAACGGACGAAAACGTGGTGCTGGGTGCCAGGAGTTGCACTTTTCTAGGACTGGCCCGGGGCCCGGGCCGAGGTTTTGCTGCTTGACTCCGTAATTAAGGCTCTGCAATTTAAGGACGATCTTTTAACCACTCGCTGCCCACCACCAGACATTAATTTTACTTTTTTTGGATAGCAAAAACCAACGGGTTTGGGTCGGAGCCGACCCCGGTTGTCAGAGCAGAGCTGCCCCATCCTGACAGGAGCCAGGTGACTTCAGTTTTGGGGGATCTCACCCCAAAAGATGGCTCGGGGCCATGGTTTTGCCCCATCCCAGTGACAGAACTATTGGAAAATACTTGGGAGAAACATTTTTCCTTGGTGAGGCTCCTTTTCTCCTGGTCCCTGCCTTCCCCCGGGCCTTGCTAAAACCCATCCTTCTGCATCCCAAGTCCCTTTGAGGCCTCTGGCCCCTCTAGGTGTCCCCTTTGGGTGCCCCCCCAGTCCCCTTA